GAAGCATAGCACGCTAGAACGGGAAGGGATCTCGAGACCCACCAAGTCGTCTCCTGCCCTCATGGCAGGACCAAGCACGGTCTAGATCAGGGGGGAGGGGGGGGAGGGAAGTGCCTTCGTGGGCTGGATTTGCCCCGAAAAGCAGATGGATCCGGCCCACAGAGGCTCTGCTGCTCCTTTGCCCCCAGACCAATTAAAGCCGAAGCCTTCTCGACTCTGCCCCCATCCTGCGAGGAGCCCGGGCACTTCAAAGCCCATGATTGGCCTGGGGGTGGGGGAGCGTGCCAAGCATCTTTCAGGGCATGGGTGCCTAGTGGGAAGCGGGGACAAAGGGGCTCCCCCTCCCCCAGACCAATCATGGTGTGGGGGTGGGGCAGCTCTGCCCCTTGGGCCCCGCCCCTTCTGGGGTGGCCTGGGGCAGTGGCCCCCAGGTAAAAATTATTGCCCCTGGTCTAGATCATCCCTGACAGGTGTCTGTCTAGCCTGCTCTTGTCCTTAGGGCGTTGAATGTAGCGGCACATCCAGTTCATGTCTTTGTTCAGCCCTTGATGACAAGGGTGAAATTGGCAAATGCTAATCTATGGCCCTCTAAAACCCGGATCAGTGAGAGAAACGGACAGGTGCCCGGGGCTGTAATGCTGCCAGTTTCTCTTCCCATCCCTACGGACCTGGGGCTTGCAGGCCCCACGACGGGCTTGCTCCCTGGCCCACGCAGAGACCATCGGCCCACGGGTCTGTTGCCGGGATCAGAGGGGGAAATTCATGTCCTGGGCTTGTGCCAAGTTTTGGGTTCTGCTGTAGGCAAGGCTGAAGGCGAGTCTTGCCCTCTGGGAGAGGGGCTGTGCGTGGGGCTTCCACGGGGACGATGGCTAACTGGCCAGGCCTTTCCTTCCTCCTAATGCCACTGATCAGTTTATTATTGTCCCCCCGGGCTCCCCACGTCCAAACACCCGGGGGCTAGATGAACCCATGCGAAGAAGCCCCGCTCAGTGTTTGCTTCCCTGGCGTGCTCTCGGCATTACAAGGAAGGGCTGGGTATGGTGAAGACCATTCTCACCCAGACACAGCGTGCGTTAGCTGCCAGAGCACATTGGTTTCCGCTGTAGGAGGGAGACGCGTCTGTCTGGGGCCCGTGCTCTGGCTGCAAAGGTCAGGGCGCTTTGCTGATCACCCGTGGAATGGCTCTGGGGGGTAAGCGCTCTCTAAGGCAGACAACACAGCCCGTCTTTGCCTGATCGCTCCCCTGTCCCTATTGGCAGTGGCATCCGAGCCCCCAAGGAAGGGTCCTCCGGGGCTTGTCATCGGGTGCAGGGGCTGCTGGAAAAGGATCGGTCATGGGAACATCTAGAGTTTCACACTCTGCTGTTGGGGTCCTGTTCTGGTGTCCGTGACTCGCGTGTCCCGGGAACGGCTGCGGGGTCCCTGGCGTCCCCCCAGACCGTGGCAGGAGCTCGGTTTGGGGCCGGGGCGTCAGCTACCAGTGCCACTGTGAATTCAAGGAACACGCTGAGCAGGGGAGAGGGAGGTAGGCGGTGTTTTGTCTGGCCTGTCGTGGAAACAAGGGGAGAAAGCGAGCAGCCCACAAACGGCTCTGCCCCGGCTGCCAGCGTGGAAAGTCTGTTTCAGGGCACAGCCCTCGAAAAACAGCTCCGGGACTCGACGGGACCACATGAAAGGCTCCGGCAGCCAGAGAGCGAGAGCTGGGGCTGGCAGCAGCCGGGGATGTACACGCTGGTTTTGTCTGGCCTGTCGTGGAAACAAGGGGAGAAAGCGAGCAGCCCACAAACGGCTCTGCCCCGGCTGCCAGCGTGGAAAGTCTGTTTCAGGGCACAGCCCTCGAAAAACAGCTCCGGGACTCGACGGGACCACATGAAAGGCTCCGGCAGCCAGAGAGCGAGAGCTGGGGCTGGCAGCAGCCGGGGATGTACACGCTGGGGGGTAACAGCAGCGGCCCGCCCCTGCTATGGAGAGCGCCGCGCGGGGGAAAGCGGCAGGTAGAACCCGTGAAAGGGGAGCAGTGAGCATAGCCAAGCCCTTCGGGAGAGAGCTGGACTAGGGTGCGTGCGGAAGATTGCACGCGAGGAGCCCTCCTGGGGACGGACCGTCCCTTTGGATTGATGCTCTGGCTTCCTGCAGCCCTTTTGTTTCCACCCAGGATGCGTCTACACAGCAGCGTGATTCCGGAATAACACCGCGCGCGTCTACGCGGCCATTCCGCTATTTCGAAATGGATCCAAAAGGACGGGCGGCTGATTCCGGCTTTGGTAAACCTCCTTCCACGAGGAATAGCGCCTCTT